AAAAACTACAACGATTGCTTTGATAACTTTTATTGCTCCTAAACTAACTTCTGTAACTGGCAGTAAAATGTGCTTCATCTTTTTGACCACCGGATGACAGAAAAGTGAAAAGAAGTGCAGAAAAGATTTGAGCAATGAATCCCAGTTCTCATGTTTTTGGGAGTTATTCAATAGATCTGTTAGTGATTTTGAAGAGCATTAATTGTTACACGTTCCCCTGTCTTGTGTTTTATTGACTCTTATTTTGAAGTATTGTTCCTATGTTCTGTCTACCTGTGTTTAGTTCCAGAAAACAGAGGACGAGTTCAGTGTGTCAGAGAAAATGAAGACACTCACAATATCACTTTGACAGATGTAACAGAAGCTGATAAACACATCTACTACTGCAGATTCACTACAAACGTTGAGACTGGAAAATGGATGGGGATTCCTGGAGCTCAGCTGGACGTCACAGGTAGAGTTCGTGAACTCTCAGAAATACAGCACAGACACACACAAACACACATTATGCAGCTGTCACATGTTATTCCTGTAGCTCAAACAGTAGATCACGGCGCAAGTAATGCCAAAGTTATGGGTTCAGTTCCCAGGAAATACATGCTGATAGAATATTTACCTTGAATCAATGTCACTTTGGAATAAAAGCATCTGCCAAATGCATAAACATTAAATGCTTCATTCTTAACTAGTTTCATTGCCTTACAGTTTCAATTGATTTAATATTCAATTATGTTCTTATTAATCTAATGGTGAATCAGTGTTGTTGTTCTGTCAGACCTGCAGGTGGAGACACAGCAGAGTGTGAAAGAGAGAGATTCAGTCACTCTGAGATGTAAAAGCAGCTGCTCTCTGCCTGAACAAACAACATTCATCTGGTACAGAAACACTCAGAGATTAACTACAGGAACCGTGAACGTGAATCAGCTTCAGCTGCAGTCAGTCAGACGTGCTGATGAAGGAAACTATAGATGTGCTGTTTCAGAATATGAACATCTGATCTCTCCACCTGTTTATCTTAAAGTAGAATGTGAGTACAAACTGATTCATTAACATTAGTGAAATATTTCACAGATTATTTTCAGAGATTTTTTGAATTTAATTCAGATTTGTTTGATAAATTCATCCAGGCTGCAATCATACAGACTGCATGACATTTTTGTTTATTAGACTAATAATATGTCAAATGAATGTGATTTATGAATCTGTGTTTAGAGACCCTCTTTATGAATCATGGGTTGATAAATCAGTACATGTAATATTGTTTGATTTACTGTTCATCTTTTCAGATGTAGATTTGAACCTTTCTGATCATCACTCAAATAAAATCTCTTTCAGTTTCAGCTTGCAGAGACACTTCAGTAAATGTTAACAATGATAAGGGAAGGTCATGAGATAAATAATGTAATTATTGTCATCAATTAAATATATCTAGATCCTCCCAGGAGCGTCTCAGTGTCCATAACTGGATCTGCTGAAATAGTGGAGGGAGATTCAGTTACTCTGAGCTGCAGCAGTGATGCAAACCCTCCTGCTCTGAACTTCAGCTGGTTTAAGGAGAATCAAAGCTCAGCTGTTGGATCTGGACAGAGTTTCAGCATCTCCAGCTTTAACTCCAGTCACAGTGGATGCTACTATTGTGAGGCTCAGAATCAACATGGATCTAAGAGATCAGAGTCTGTTTCAGTCTCTGTTAAAGGTATTCACTATAAACTCTCTTTCAGTTTTATCTGTCTCTAGTGTGAAATAATCTTCATGAACATCTTGTTTCAGGGGTTCAGAGAGCTGCTCTGCAAACAGTTACTGGGATTGTGGCGGGATGTGGAGGACTGATCTTCATCATCATCATCATTGTGTTTATAAGGTGAGTTAAGTTTGTCTGGACACTAAATGTAAGTCTTTTCAGTAAATTTAAAACATCTGCAAACTTTATCGCACATCTAGAGAAAATTGACTTTTTTTTGCCTTTTAGTATTTTTTATTTATTTGATGTATTTTAGATACGTGATGTTTGAGGAAATCCTAAAGATGTTGCACTGTAAGAAACACTGTAGATGTTGTTACACATCCTCTTCTGTAGATGGTGTGTCTTAGTGACAGACACGTGCTGAGTATTGCTAAAGTTTGTGTGAGAATACAGTTGTAATATCATTTTTATGCAATCAGTTTATAATTGAGTTTCAAACAGCTGATATTCAATCTTAAGTCACAGGGATTCAGATTCACCTCCAGTATTTTGACAAAATAAAATAACCTCATTTACATCATTTGGTCATTTACTCACCTTGCAAAGTGTTATGGCGATATGCTTTTGAAGTTTGAAATCTCATTTTATACGAAGATTCAGAAGTATATGTTTGTGTAATATTTGCTGTCACCTCTTTGTTTCTGATCTCATCGAATGAATTATATAATAAACAGATAAAATAAATGTACATACTATGTACTTGCTATAGTAATTACAATAACTGGGTAATAACTATGTACTATCTCCAAACCTACCCCTAAACCTAACCCTAACCCATGTAATTTCCTTATATCTTCCAGTACTTTCTGAAGCAAGTACACTGTAAGTACAGGTAAGTGCACACTGTAAAAACTACAACGATTGCTTTGATAACTTTTATTGCTCCTAAACTAACTTCTGTAACTGGCAGTAAAATGTGCTTCATCTTTTTGACCACCGGATGACAGAAAAGTGAAAAGAAGTGCAGAAAAGATTTGAGCCCTATGCAATGATGGAGAACAAGATTTAGGTGGTGTTAAGACCCAGAACCAAGCTTACTGAGCAATAAAGCTATAGTGAGCCCTTTTATTAAAATAACTGGAGCCTAGGAAATACAAAAATAAAACAAAAATTATCATTCACTCAGTATTACTCGTTGTAATTCACAACTATCTCAATTACAATTAAGTACAAATTAATTGTATTCAGTTGTGTTTTAGGCACTAAAACAGTCCAGTACTTTATAGTAAAATCCATTTCTATATTGAAATAATGAAGATTTCTGTGCCACCCCAGACTGGTTGCTGCCCCTTCCTGTCTACCCCTATGAAAACATCCTGGCTCCACAACTGCCTAAGAGGGCAAAGTGATTAATATCAGTTCATTTCTGAGTCTCTATTGCCACTAGCCACTAGCCACTTTTCTCTGAAAATTGCCGTTGTAAATTCAAAAACAGGCCGTCTGTGTAATTCAAGTAGATTCAATGAGTTGAAAACTCTTGCTACTTCATGTGAGAATACATTTGTAATATCATTTTTATGCAATCAGTTTATAATTGAGTTTCAAACAGCTGATATTCAATCTTAAGTCACAGGGATTCAGATTCACCTCCAGTATTTTGAATTTTTAGCACAAAATAACCTCATTTACATCATTTGGTCATTTACTCACCTTGCAAAGTGTTATGGCGATATGCTTTTGAAGTTTGAAATCTCATTTTATATGAAGATTCAGAAGTATATGCTTGTGTAATATTTGCTGTCACCTCTTTGTTTCTGATCTCATCGAATGAATGATATAAAAAACAGATAAAATAAATGTACATACTATGTACTTGTTATAGTAATTACAATAACTGGGTACTATCGCTGATCCTTCCCCTAACCCTAACCCTAATCCTAACCCTAACCCTAAACCTAACCCACGTACTTTCCTTATATCTTCCAGTACTTTCTGAAGCAAGTACACTGTAAGTACAGGTAAGTGCACACTGTAAAAACTACAACGATTACTTTGATAACTTTTATTGCTCCTAAACTAACTTCTGTAACTGGCAGTAAAATGTGCTTCATCTTTTTGACCACCGGATGACAGAAAAGTGAAAAGAAGTGCAGAAAAGATTTGAGCAATGAATCCCAGTTCTCATGTTTTTGGGAGTTATTCAATAGATCTGTTAGTGATTTTAAAGAGCATTAATTGTTACACGTTCCCCTGTCTTGTGTTTTATTAACTCTTATTTTGAAGTATTGTTCCTATGTTCTGTCTTCCTGTGTTTAGTTCCCCCCATTAGTCTTGTTACTCTGTGTATTTATACCCCTGTGTTTCAGTCTTTGTTTGCCGGTCGTTGTTTTGCTTATGTGAACTGTTGTGTGCTTTTTGCTTTATCTGGATTTCTCTGCCTTGTTTTTGCTTTGTTTGGATTCTTTTATCATTTTTGTTAATAAATTGTGCTGCATTTAGATCCTCCCCTCTTCCTTGCCTCAAGCGTGACATTAATACTATCTGCTGTCAGTCTGGTGTGCAAGTGCTTGTGCTTGTCAGAAACTGGCACTGCACTTAAACACCATGTATTTGCTCATGTTTCTGATTGTGTAAATGTGGTTGCGTAGCATCGTTGCTTCATAAGTGAAACATAGAGTTTGTGTCAGAAAGAGGATCTTGAATCTAAAAGCTGTAAACCTTCATATATGAAAAAAATCTTGACGCTCCTGCAGTCATGATGAGTATCTTTACAAAGCAACCACGTTTCACATATACTCTCACAAAGATTTAACAATAGTGAATTCTAAAGCTTATTTGTTTGGATCTGGAGACTTTTCTAGTTGTTCTTGCGTAGTTGAGATGGCGTCACACATATGCAGGAAGTTGTTTAACTGCAGGTTTAAGTGTGAAAACTTCCACTGACACATTAAGCTGCTGATATTTTTGTCATTTGGGCGTTGACACTGAGACATTGACACTGCAGCGCGGTAAGACCATTGTTACCATTATTTAACATTAGGTAAAATAATTCTGTAGGGCTACAGCTGATATTTGTAAAAATGTGCTGATGAGTTGAAGATACATGTTGTAGATCCATACCCTGATAACACACGTACATCACGCAGACGGCTATTTGACATCTGCATTTACATCTGCAAGACGTATATTTTAGAGTGTTTGCTCATCTGCAATATGTCTATTGGACGTTTCCAAGCAGATGTCAAATAGACGTTATAAAAATGTCTTTAAGATGTTTATATGTTTATATACAGTATATATAGATGATGCTCATAATGTCATACTTGTCAGTTTTATGATTGCAGAAATCACTATGGCGACATCACTCATAACATCACTTCCTCTGATCTTGGTGATCATGACTGCGGGTGAGTCTTCAGCTACAGTCACTATACACACACTTTAACACTCTTTGAAAAGCTGATCGAGCTCTTCACACTTTGTAGCTTTTATAGTGACATGAGTGTTTTGCTGTCAGCTAACAAATAAAAATGGTTAAAATGAAAGATACTTTTTGTGCACTGGTTCAAAACACCTGAAACACCACCTCATTTTCTTATATCTGTGTTTCGTGTTTCAGCTGTTGATGGTCAGCAGGATTGGGGAGTGAATTACAGCCCTTCATATGTTTGTGCATTAAAGGGATCAACAGTGAAAATGTCCTGTGCTTTCCCACAGACACAATGTCAGTGGCGCAAAAACGGGGTATGCAGTATATGCAGTGCATAGGGGCGCCACACATAGGGGGGCACCATTTTGCCAAAATCATTCTGTGAAAATCTTCTTTAATAAAAAGTTATAAATAATCAAAAGCTTAGTTATTAAAAATAATGAATGCAAAAATTTTTTTTGCATTTCAATGAGTTAAAAAATTTATAAATGTATATGTATAAATTACGTGTACAATGCAAAAACGTATTAAAATGCGGAACGGCCGTATCTCTTTGCGACCACAACAAACGGGAGACTTTCCAGACGCTCAAAAAATAAAACAAAAATTATCATTCACTCAGTATTACTCGTTGTAATTCACAACTATCTCAATTACAATTAAGTACAAATTAATTGTATTCAGTTGTGTTTTAGGCACTAAAACAGTCCAGTACTTTATAGTAAAATCCATTTCTATATTGAAATAATGAAGATTTCTGTGCCACCCCAGACTGGTTGCTGCCCCTTCCTGTCTATCCCTATGAAAACATCCTGGCTCCACAACTGCCTAAGAGGGCAAAGTGATTAATATCAGTTCATTTCTGAGTCTCTATTGCCACTAGCCACTAGCCACTTTTCACTGAAAATTGCCGTTGTAAATTCAAAAACAGGCCGTTTGTGTAATTCAAGTAGATTCAATGAGTTGAAAACTCTTGCTACTTCATACTTCATAATGAGTTTGTATCCTTCCATGCACAAGCTAGTAATGGGCTTTTGGTCATTGACTTGCAGAAAGTTTTCTGCATGAGTTAGGGTTAGAGGCTGCTAGAATAAAGGGGGACGCCGACACTGATCTTGCATACCCCTCGGCAAATGTGCAGTTGCGCCCCTGAGACACATACAAACACACACATCAAGCACTTTATTATGTAACTGCATCTGTTGAATGACATTCTTTCTTTTTCTGAACACAAAAAGAGAAATGTCATAAAATGTCCTGCTTGGTTGTTCATATAATGACTATAAATTGTGACCTTCTTAATGCTTTAACAAAAGTTGCAAACTGCCTTAAAATAATGTGACTTTTGACTTGCATTCCAAGTGTTCTGAAGATGTGTGATTGGGTTCATAAAGAAAAAAGTAGCAAACCAAAATGCAATTTCTTATTTATCAAAAACATCTTGACCTCACAGCAGTTTTTGTCATTGAACAAGTGCGCACCATTTAGAGAATCCACTTGGAATATAAAATATGAGTTGCATGAGTGTTTTTGAATGCTTTTGCATCCTGTTTTTAAAGCCTGAAGAAGGTCACCATTCACATTACATTTCATCTGTTTAACTGAACATGACTTGCATTATGTTAGAGCTGTAAATTATTGTTATACGGTATTATGTTGTTGCCAGAAGAGATTAGTTTTTGTCTTGACAGTCACGTGATTAAAAGAAAATAAAGGAAGAGATTAAAGGAAGTAATGCTAGATTATTTATTTGGCTGCAAAGACATTGTTTCATTGAAGCATGCATCGGCTGTAAAGCTTTGAAATGATTTTGTGTTATGAAAAGTATGATACATGTAAACACGAATTGAACTGCTATTAAACGGATAATCTCAAGCAGGACATTTTTTAACAATGTGTTCTGAAAAAGAAAGGAGGACACATGGCTTTAGAATAACAGCAGTTTTGTTTTTGTGTGAACTATCACTGTAAGATGATGGTGAAATAGAGAAATAGAGAAATAGAGTTGTTGCTGTTGTTCTGTCAGACCTGCAGGTGGAGACACAGCAGAGTGTGAAAGAGAGAGATTCAGTCACTCTGAGATGTAAAAGCAGCTGCTCTCTGCCTCAACAAACAACATTCATCTGGTACAGAAACACTCAGAGATTAACTACAGGAACCGTGGACGTGAATCAGCTTCAGCTGCAGTCAGTCAGACGTGCTGATGCAGGAAACTATAGATGTGCTGTTTCAGGATATGAACATCTGATCTCTCCACCTGTTTATCTTAAAGTAGAATGTGAGTACAAACTGATTCATTAACATTAGTGAAATATTTCACACAAAGTTCGACATCAGCTGAAATCTAATAGAAATGAAAGATTCATGTGTTTGAAAGCCTAATAATATTTCTCATATCTGTGTTTCGTGTTTCAGCTGTTGATGGTCAGCAGGATTGGGGAGTGAATTACAGCCCTTCATATGTTTGTGCATTAAAGGGATCAACAGTGAAAATGTCCTGTGCTTTAAAATATCCTCGTGATCATAAGATTAAAACAGTCTTCTGGACCAAACCTGCTGTAACTGATGGAGATCTACCGCCCCTGTGTTTAGTTCCAGAAAACAGAGGACGAGTTCAGTGTGTCAGAGAAAACGAAGACAATCACAATATCACTTTGACAGATGTAACAGAAGCTGATAAACACATCTACTACTGCAGATTCATTACAAACATTGATACTGGAAAATGGACGGGGGTTCCTGGAGCTCAGCTGGACGTCACAGGTAGAGTTCGTGAACTCTCAGAAATACAGCACAGACACACACAAACACACATTATGCAGCTGTCACCTGTTATTCCTGTAGCTCAAACAGTAGATCATGGCGCAAGTAATGCCAAAGTTATGGGTTCAGTTCCCAGGAAATACATGCTGATAGAATATTTACCTTGAATCAATGTCACTTTGGAATAAAAGCATCTGCCAAATGCATAAACATAAATGCTTCATTCTTAACTAGTTTCATTGCCTTACAGTTTCAATTGTTTTTTTGTTCTTATTAATCTAATGGTGAATTAGTGTTGTTGTTCTGTCAGACCTGCAGGTGGAGACACAGCAGAGTGTGAAAGAGAGAGATTCAGTCACTCTGAGATGTAAAAGCAGCTGCTCTCTGCCTGAACAAACAACATTCATCTGGTACAGAAACACACAGAGATTAACTACAGGAACCGTGAACGTGAATCAGCTTCAGCTGCAGTCAGTCAGTCGTGCTGATGAAGGAAACTATAGATGTGCTGTTTCAGGATATGAACATCTGATCTCTCCACCTGTTTATCTTAAAGTAGAATGTGAGTACAAACTGATTCATTAACATTAGTGAAATATTTCACAGATTATTTTCAGAGATTTTTTGAATTTAATTCAGATTTGTTTGATAAATTCATCCAGGCTGCAATCATACAGACTGCATGACATTTTTGTTTATTAGACTAATAATATGTCAAATGAATGTGATTTATGAATCTGTGTTTAGAGACCCTCTTTATGAATCATGGGTTGATAAATCAGTACATGTAATATTGTTTGATTTACTGTTCATCTTTTCAGATGTAGATTTGAACCTTTCTGATCATCACTCAAATAAAATCTCTTTCAGTTTCAGCTTGCAGAGACACTTCAGTAAATGTGAACAATGATAAGGGAAGGCCATGAGATAAATAACATAATTATTGTCATCATTTAAATATATTTCATCTAGATCCTCCAAGGAACGTCTCAGTGTCCATAAATGGATCTGGTGAAATAGTGGAGGGAGATTCAGTGACTCTGAGCTGCAGCAGTGACTCAAACCCTCCTGCTCTGAACTTCAGCTGGTTTAAGGAGAATCAAAGCTCAGCTGTTGGATCTGGACAGAGTTTCAGCATCTCCAGCTTTAACTCCAGTCACAGTGGACGCTACTATTGTGAGGCTCAGAATAAACATGGATCTCAGAGATCAGAGTCTGTTTCAGTCTCTGTTAAAGGTATTCACTATAAACTCTCTTTCAGTTTTATCTGTTTCTAGTGTGAACAGATCTTCATGAACATCTTGTTTCAGAGGTTCAGAGAGCTGCTCTGCAAACAGTTACTGGGATTGTGGTGGGATGTGGAGGATTGATCTTCATCATCATCATCATTGTGTTTATTAAGTGAGTTCCTGCATTACAAAGTAATTTCACAAGTTATCACAAATGCAGAATTTCCTAAACTTATTGCAAAATATTAAATGCTACTTGCAATAAATTACTGTTCAGTACTTTTTAAACAAAGCGTTTTTTTTTCCAGGAAGAAGAGGAGAGACGGTGGAACTGAAGTAGTCAGCCAAAATCAGGCAAGTTTCAGGATCAGCAGGATCATGATATAGACAGTATATTTAACTATAAAAATTAAGACTTAACAAGATCATGTGCTGATGCTTGACAAATATTTGACATGATGTTTCAGACTGATCTGCTGATATCTGTGAGATTATGTTATTTTTTAAAACAGCAGGAGGATCAGGTTGCCAGATCAGCAGAAACGGCTCTGACCAATGACGTTCCAGTGTATTCAGTAGTATCAGCCAATCAGAGGGATGATCTGTATTCCAACATTAAAGCGAAGAAACCCAAACGCTCTGGGAGAGAACAAACAGAAAAAGACTCTGGAGATGTTGAAGAGGTTCAGTATGCCAGTGTCCATCACTTCAAGAACAAAGACATGAACAAGACTGAAGAGACCATTGAGATGCAACATCCATCTGATGCCAACAGGTGAGAAATGATTCATCTGAACCCAAATGAAACATATTCAATGCTTAATCAGAGCTCTCATTGTTTTGGGTTGAGATGATGAATTGTCACCTCCTGGTGGGACTTTCTGAAGTGCTACATTAACATATTCATTTAATTTCTCCCCAGAGCTGAGGATGTGATCTACAGCTCAGTGAAATGAAGAACGTGTGGTTGGAGCCGCGTCCTATTGATGCTCATGGGAGACCTGGTTTTGAGTCCATCCCAGGTCATGTTCCAGATCCCTCTCTTCTTGAATTCACCCATTTACTCATCTTTGGGACTGTTCTACTGTTTAGACATAAATGGCTTTCAGTTTAAATTCTGCTCGTTTGTTACGATCTTGATTATCTCAAGCACACTCACTGCCTTCCCTCTACACTCACACACGAACGCCACTCATTCCTGTAATAGTCAAAGTCCTTTTAGCTCTCACTTTGTACAGTCAATGTAGAACAGATATTTTCTCTGTTCACCCTGTGTGAGTTTGTGAACATTGTCAGAAAGTCTTTATTTTCATTATGGCATCATGACAATTTAGCTAATTTTACACCAAATTCTCATTACTGTAATGTGCCCAAATATTGTATTTTTCATGATTTTCTTTACTGTAATAAATACTGTACACTCTAAAAAATGCTGGGTTGTTTCAACCCAACTTTGGGTCAAATATGGACTAACCCAACCGTTGGGTTAAATTTTCACATTACATTTTTAAACCAAAAGTTGGGTTAGTCCATATTTGACCCAAAGTTGGGTTGAAACAACCCAGCATTTTTTTTAGAGTGTAATCTTTTGCAATGATTTTGTTAAATTTAGAGCTACACTGTGTTTGAAATTAACAAAATTTAAATAATGAGCAAGTACATCATAAAAATATCTTTCAAATTGTTCTACCTAGCCTTAAATCACTATGGTAAGTCTATAATAATTATTGATATTTTAGAGCTGTCAGAACTAGGTTAACAAAACAATGCCAATATCTAAACCAGTTACTTCTTTGGTGTATTTGCCTATAAATAGCCTAAAGACAAGTTATAATAATTTCCAGCTACCTGCTCTTACTACATTTTTTCAGATATCTGACTTTTGTTATTGGGAGTTTTGATGTGGTTTGTGATGTTCACATAGTCAATCACCTGTAACCATAAGTGTTGTAATATGCCTCTGCTCATGGAGCGTTTTTAGATTGATGCTGAGACTTTTTAGGCTGGGTAGAATCTGCAATCTCTGACCCAGTTCGTTTGCTGGCTTCCATGGCTGCAATACGCTGTGTTTTCCACCAACTGGCAAACCGGGGTGTTGAAATACCATTGAGTAAACTGGCAGTGTGGAATCAAACAGACCAAAAAAAAAAAAAAAGACATTCTGACACAGACCCAGTGTTGCCAAGTCTGTGGTTTCCCCACGGAATCGGGCTAGTGTTATACTGCTGCTTGTGAAGAGTCTGCATTTTATGAGAAAAATATCAAACGGCGATGGAAAACGCTCTGTAACCTTGGTTCCCTGAATTAATGGGAACGAGCATTGCATTTACCACGCTTGGGGGGGGGGGGGACTGATTTGTTAATGTTTGTGTAGCTGTATGAACAGATGGCATCAGGATGCCTTCTGCAGCTCAGGGTCCAGCGTCACTTTGGGGTGGGGGCCCTAGCACTTGTGGAAGGGATAGTGCTTGGCAGTCTGAGGACGCTGCTGGAGCTCAAGCTCTGGCTTGGACTGAGGCGGAGCAGGTGACGGAGCAGGATTTGCAGGCTGTTGAGTCGGCAGAGCCTTCTGGAGACTTGAAACAGCCATTGAGCTGGAGCGTTTGGACAGGAAGTGGTGCATAGCTTGCAACGACTTCTGCGCTGCAGTGAAGTAGGGCTGTCAAAATGGCTGAAAAACTAAATTCGAAATTTGTACTTAAATATTATCAAAATTCGAATTATATTTGAATTTAAAATGCATAATTTCAGTTAAGCTGAAGAAAAGCTTTTGGCTTCTCTCCTGAGGTCACAAGAGGGCGCATCATTCAAAGCATAAGATAACATGACTATGCGAAAAAAAGTGCAAAATGTTTAAAATAATGTTTATAAACCAATTATAATTAAGTTGCTTAAACAACTATAAACAAAACAGCATCATGTATGTATGCATAGTTTAATACAAAGGGCGGAAAGCCAATCACACAGAGTACATTTTTCAATTAAAAACATGAGATGCAGTGGGATGGAGAAAAACCCGCCATAGTCTCGATATATGTTTTTTTCAAAGTTAAACTTGCATTAATTTTACATGGCTTTCTAAATGTGCGGCTCTTTTGTGCGAGACGCAAGTGCAACAGTAATGTAGATGTCCATCTAGAAACTGTGTGAAATATGCGTTCTGTGTGAACGGCTTGGTTTCGGTTTTGATGTAAACAAAATATTCTTACATCGTCATCGCTTCTCGTGCGCTGCTGATAAGGTTCAGACTACACGATTTTAGTCCGATTTTGCCACGATTTGCTTGACGTAGGGTGTCGTGGGGATTCGTAATCGACAATGGGCATCAGGACGCAAGATTCCATCGTTTCAGCACGTATAGTGTGTCATAGTGGACGACAACCGATTCCCCGTCTGCGATGCTTCACGACATCATGACAGAAAGACTAGCAAGTTTCATTTTTTTCCCCGTCGTCCACGACGAGTTCTGTCACATTGGTGACGTTGACTAATATCAGCACAGAAGCTCTTTCATACACCGGTTTCAAACATGGCAACACGAAAGAGAGATGATGGTGTTGCTAGGTGGAATTATGAGATGGAGGAAAGGTTGATGGAGTTGTGGCAACAGTACTCCTGCCTGTATGATGTTTCATCAAGGGACTACCATGACAGAACAAAGAAAGAAAAATGCTGGCGAACTATAGCAGGAGCGCTTCAGCAATGTTTACACTCTTGTTTTCGGAAGTCAGTCGCTATTTCCGCCTTCTCGATGACATCACGCACGTCGTTAAAGATGGCACGCGATGAATGGTCGGGAAGCAACGTGTAGTCTGACATGTTTCTTGTCCACGACAGGACAAGATTTTAGGAGTCAAACAGTGACCGACAAAAATATCGTGTAGTGCTGTTTTTGGAGCACATAGGGCCAGGTCAGTCGCGCTGCACAGATCCTTGAAAGCAGCAAGCCCAGGCAAGCGACGCACTCACAATGACACTGACACTGCAAATATGCACATAAGAACATTAACCCATGGTTAAGGAATGTACAGTGTAAAACGGAAGCCCTGATGTGTGAACAAGTTTTTTTTTATCATGAAAGTTGAGACTTATTTGCATAGAAACAGGAAATGTTATCCTTTATAACCCCCAGCTTAACATGTCTGTTTAGTCTTCAAACTTACCATTTATACTTTGACTACTAGTGAAGAAAGCTACTGTAAACAAGGTATGAGAGTTTTATTTGATTAAGAGTTTGTGAAATGCACTGGTGTGAAAGAGAAGAAACGGATAGCTTTTGGGACAAAATGTTTGTGGGTGGGTCAGTTCTATACCATGCTATATCAAACAGGACCTTTATTTCACAGGGCTTGAGGACGCTACACTTTAAGCTTGGTAAATAAGTTCAGGAGAGACTAAATTGATTCATACATGTAGATAATTCATATTATGATGAATATGATTTGGTAGCAGGTCAGCTGGGCAATGTAAGAAGATTAAAAGTCCTGTTGACTTTAAGTCGACCGCGTCTAGTGCAGGTGTGAGCAAAAGCCAATAGAGTTCATTATAATCAGTGATATTTTATATACTGGATGAGGCGCAAAACGATATTACAAATCCCTGACAGCAAACTGATGCCATCCAGTGTATACACGATGTTAGAATGCTAACAACATAATAATCTGATGTTGCACAAAGAACAGACAATTGGAAAGTCCAGAGGAAAAGGACTTAAGATTGCTTGAGACTAATTTTTAACATGCATGAGCAATGTAACTACAGTTCAGCAGTGCAACGCCTCCACTCCACCCTGATCTTATCGGTTATTTGGGTGATAGCGAGTCACAAGACAGTTTCTGAGCAGCACTTTTACTATTAAAGGGGTCATATGATGCTATTTTAAAGATCATTATTTTGTGTATTTGGTGTAACAGAATATGTTGACATGCTTTAATGTTCAAAAAACATTATTTTTTAAAATACTGTACATTATTGTAGGTCCTCTATGCCCCGCCTCTCTCAAAAGCGTCGTTTTCAACAAAGCCCCCTCCATTGACAAGCGCAGTCTGCTCTGATTGGCCAGCTGACCCAGTGCATTGTGATTGGCCGAACACCACAAGCACGCATCGGAAGTGTAACGCCCCTTACCATAATCGCGAGCTTCAGCTTTCAAAGTAAATATAAAGACAGTTAATAATGTCGTTAGTTTTACCATCAGTTCAACAGTCGCGTGACAGACACAGTGATGATGCAGCACACAAGCCGCTATTAAGACAGCTGACGTGCTATGATTTCTGACAG